CTAGGAAAGCAATTTATCCTCTTCTGCTTCTGATAGAAGTGTTTCAAAAGAAAACCTTAGGCTCCCCAAATACCTTGAGAAAAGAGGACAGCTTCTGTTGGTTTTCCTGATTTCCTCCCCTGGCAAGTGATGGATGGTCTTCATCTTAGTTTTGTTTTGTACAATTCAGACAGGCGGAATCATTACATACACAACTCAAACAGGCTTGCTTCAGGAGCTGTGACTTACGTGTCACTATCAGCATAACTTTCAAACAAAGCCTGATTGACCACATGGTGACCCTAAGAACTAGCATTTGTCTAGTCCCCTCAGATGCCATGAAGGCCTCTCGTATGTGTCATTTCACATGATGCCAGTGATAGTCCAGCCAAGGGGAGCCCTTGAACCCTTGATCGTTTCAAAGACGAGATCAGAGAATAAAGCGACTTGGCCAAGCTCATCATGCACTGATCAGAGATTAAGGACCTGGCTGATGCCAAGTCCAGTGCCTCGTCGGGACACGAGCTGCTCCTCTGTCACGGATGCTCAGGAGGGATGTTCTTGAGCCCGGGAGCTGATGGGCATGCTGGTTTCTAAGGTCCCTGCCAGTCCGGTGCCTCTATCAATAAAACGATGGGCCCCCTGCATTAAACCAGGGGCTTTAGAAACTTCTTGAAGCAGAAAAGATCCTTCCCTCTCAAAGGAAATCTAGAGAATGCCAAAGTATAAAATAGGTCATCCGAGCTCCCCTCTGGTTAAAAAAGAAATGACTCCTGTGGAAATGTCCATCAAGTGACGAAGGGATAATAAAATGTGGTATATCCATAGACTGGAACCAATATTATTGGGGCATAAGGAGAAATAAAGTACTGATACATATTATAACATGGGTGAACCAAAAACACGCTAAGTGAAAGAAGCCAGCCACAAAAAACTCCATTTATACGAAGTAACCAGAGAAGGTAAATCCAGAGATAGAAAACAGGTTGGCAGAGGTGGGAATGGGGAGTGAGTGCCTAATGGATAATGGGTTACCTTTTGGGGTGACAAAATATTTTGGAGCTAGAAAGGGGTGCTGGTTGTACAACATTATGAATGTACTAAATGCCACCGAATTGTATACTTTTGTACAGCTAATGTTATATTGTGTGGATTTTACCTCCATATGTGTATGCAGAGATATATGAGGGTTCTAGAATCCTATCCCATCAATCGCCCTTCCCCTGCCCCTGCCGTGCCTCCAAAGAATCCTATTAAGTAAATCAATAGTCATCAGATATTACAAAAAGTCATCATAGTTCAAAACAGCTCTCATATGACAGCTATTTTGTTCCTTCGGGGGCCAAAGGTATATTTTCTCCTAACCCAACAAATAAATTTGTCTGGGCAAGTGACATCATGCTACATGGAAACAAAATTTTCCATTGCAGTCAGCTCCAATGTCAAGTCTCGTTACAGAGGTCCAACAGCTTTGGTTTTAGGATATGTCATTGGTTTTAAACTTGAAAGTCTACTTTAAGTATACCAGAAAAGAGTATGGTTAGCACTTTTTGTTTGTTCAATTATAGTAGATAATTTTATTGGTGAGTAGTAAACTAAGCATTATTAAGTGCCTACTGTATAGTAAGGTGGCTCAGCAGTAAAGAATACGCCTGCAATGCAAGAGATGACGCAGGAGACTCGGGTTCAATCCCTGGGTGGGAAAGATTCCCACCCACTCCAGTAGTCTTGCCTGGAAAATTCCATGGACAGAGGAGCCTGGTGGGCTACAGTGAATGGGGTCACAAAGACTCAGACACGACTGAGCATACACACACTCTATAGTAAGTCTTGCAGGTTGCTTCACTTAAACATCATTATCTCCATTTTATAGAAAAGGATACCGAGGTTCAGAATAGCTCTCCACATCTTCAACGTCAAGATTTGAACCTCAGTCTCTTCAGCTCAGGAGAAAGTTCTATCCACTATACCCACTCAGTAGGGTCACAGGTCCCTCTCTCCATGGAAGGCATGAGGACTGCTTTCTGCCCCATCAATATACTGACCCAGCCTACATGCCTCCCCTACTCCTGGGGTGTGTGAAGATGCAGGACACACAGACACAGGGGTCTGATGCCCTTCCAAGGCCCCCTCTGCCTCTTTCTAGAGCAGTTTAGAGCAGTTTAAGCCTTTTTGCTTCAGTCTGTGCAGGAAAACTGAAAACTACCTTCAACAATCTTGCTGGCAAAGTGTATTCAATGAAGTGATGAGGGACACATCAAACTCTCTTTTGTTAAGGAGCTGAAGAGCAAGGCAAGGAAACCATTTGTTTTTTAAATATTTAGGTTGGATCCTACTCAAACACAAGAAACTCCGGCTTCTAAAGTTAACTACTGGCCTAGAAGTCCTTGTGACATCACTTCCTGCAGTTGGCATGACCTGGTCCCATATTTGAACACACAATTCAGCACTACAACGCTGTGCCTTATCTATGGGCACAAATACAGTGCTTTTCCAAGTTATTCTGAAACATTTGGAATTGAGAATAATTTCATCCTTTTGGTTTGTATGAAAGCGTTAGTTGCTCAGTCGTGTCCAACTCTGTGATCCCATGGACTGTAGCCCACCAGGCTCCTAAGTCCATGAAATTCTCCTGACAGGAATACTGGAGTGGATTGCCATTTCCTTCTCCAAGGGATCTTCCCTACCCAGGGATCGAACCCCAGTCTCCCTCATTGCAGGCAGATTCTTTATAGTCTGAGTCACCAGAAAAGCCCTTGGTCTGTATGGTAAAATTATCAAAATGCTGATAATAATCCCTTACATATAATACACTTTACTGATTACAAAATGCTTTCATGGACAATCATTGCTCATTTTTGTTTTTTTTAAAAAAAGGTATAATTAAGGAAAAATATCAGTAAATGCCATTTAGCTATTAACATACACCCTTATATTGTAGGTAGGGAAAGGGTGAGATGAAAGCATTTTTCTGTTAAGATTGAAGTCAGGTTCTTGAAGCTCTAACTGTTCTTGGTTATCAGTTAAAAAAAAAAAAAGTCAATGCTTTTTAAATTAAAAATGAGGTGCTGCTACTTATGACTTGATAAATCGTAAAATGCCTTTCCCATCCCTCCCGATGGTCCTGGGCCCATTTAAATTGCTTTTAACTTTTAGATCTGTAGCTCATATGGATCACATCAAATGCCAGGTGCCAGTGGGAAAAAAACCAAACAACTAGAACCAGAAAATGAAAGCTGATCATGTTTTGAGGCCATCTAATGTGAAATACAGCAGTCCCCTTTCCTCTCTTCCTAGTTTTTGTGGCAGAGGTTAAGATGGCTTAGGCCACACAATAGCCTTTGAACTTGTTCCCACCAAAGGAATCAGAGGGTTAAAGTGTCAAGGTCCTCTTTAAAAATCTATCCCCCTGAGCCATCCTGGCATGATAGCTGACAAAATCTCCCTGCAGTGCAACCCAGTCACTCAAGACCTAATCTCTTCCAGTGAGATCAATAACCGTTAGAAAGTAGATTTTTGAGAAATGAATTACATTGCAATGAATCTGACCAAACTGCAATTAATCCACTGCTTTTCCTCAAGGATGGCTAAAAAAGGCAGCCGCATGTGTGTACGAGTAGACCCATTATCCAGCCTCCGGGAGCTGCTGCCGTGAGCTGCTCCCGTGAGGGGTTCCGCAGACCTGACCCGCCACCACTTTGAAGCCCTCGTCGGTGGAGGCCACACCTGGCGGGATCAGCCCACGTGAACCACAGGTGAGTGTTCTCAGCAAGCCTTAATGGCCTTGGATCCGTGCCTTGCACAGCAAAGAATGCTCTGGAAGAGAACTCAACTAGGCAGACACCATCCAGCCTGACTCAGAATATGACAAAGACTCCTTCAGAGTGACATTTCCGGCAGGGTGGCGGTGCCCAGCCTTGGCTGCGAGATAGACTCACCTGGGGAACCTACAGTGTTTCTGTGGTCAGGCCTCCAGCCCAGGCTGATTAAAAGCAGCATCTCTAGAAGTGGGGGCACTTGCACTGGTATTTACGAGAGCTCTCCAGATGGTTCTGATGTGCGTGTGCGGCCAAGGGGAGAAGCACTACTGGAGGGTGATTCTGACAGTATTTGGGCTTGAGCCCAGTTGGTGAGGGGCAGCATTAAGAGGAGCCTGCGAAGTACCACTTGCTCAAGGGAGCCAGGGCTCCTCACGTTCCTAAAGCACAGCTGACAAACGCGCTACTTGTCTAGGGGGTGTTTGGGTCCAACTGATATGTCAGGGGTACCAGGAGTGCTGTTTGAAATGCTTGTCTTTGGTTTTTCTGCCTAAAACAGGCACAGTCATATTTACTCAACCCTCACTTTGCGAAAGCCAGGAATTTGGTGAAAACAAAACCAACAAAATACCCAAGTGACATCATGTCTTTCACTTCAGGGGTGATTCCATGGAGGGAAGGGCTGGGCACATACTGCCATCAATATTCCAGTTAGATGTTACTGGGTGGGTGGGATGAACAGGTATCATAAGGTTGTAAATATTATAGAACTGCCACAAGTTCGACAATTGGTTCTGCAGATTTTGAAACAAAAAGTTTATATTGCAAGAGTGTTAACATCATGAAGAAAATGAAAAGAAAGTGATCCTTACTACACACGTCCAAGTTACCTGTGGCCCCCTTCTCCAGCATTTTGTACTCTTTGCCTGTGCTCGAGGGTTTTACAGAGAAGCATCATGTGGGCAATGGTGAGGGAGGGGCGAGCCTGTCACTGGGGGAGGCTGGGTTTTCAGAAAAGACTTTCCAGACTCAGATAATGATTGGCTAGAAATTCATCTGCTGATCTAACTGCAAGTGTGTCTCCATATCTTGACCCTGAGTCATCATATCTGGAGGGTGATACTCGTAGATGAAAATATGATTTATCAGATTGTTAAAGGTAGAAATCTCACTCACGATGGTAACATGTTTTGAGAACTGACTTACCTGCTTAGGACATGGGAAGCAGAATTGATAGAAATAAATGATATAAAAAATACTTACTGGCTCTCTCTTTTCTTTTTAAGTGGGTCCATGAGACGCAGAGTGTCTCTGATCACGGCCACTTTCACTTCTTCATCAACAAGACTGGGGACGTTCTCAAACACCCCTGGAGAGAGCTTGAAGGGTAAGGATTCCGTGTTACGGTAGAGACAGGGATTCAGCACCAACTGACCACAAGCGCCAGCCCCAGTGATTGTGCTGCCAGAATTGTTTAAAGGCTCCCTTCAGTCTGCCTTTAAAATGTCAGTTTCCTTTTCCAAATCAACAAAATACATGAAGGGGGAACAATAGCACTGGGTTTTTCTCATTATCAAAATGAGATATGCTCATTTTAGAATATTTGAAAATATGGAAGAGGTGAAGAAAAGAACCCTCATAATCCACCCCCACCCAAAACCCAGGATTAATAATCGGTGTATTTCCTTCCAGTCTTTTTTAATGCATTCTTAAAAGGTGGGGGGGGAGGGAGGTAAGCACTGCTCAATATACTATTTATCTTAGGGACTCAAGCATGTCGACATGGCTAAATCATATTCATAGAATTTCAATTAGTTCACCTCCTGAGGCTGACTAATTAGTTCATGTCAAAACTGATGGAAAGGCTCAGCTGCTTCTCCATTTGCAGATCTTCAGAGCTGGAGAAGGGCATGTGGGGAAGTCACCATAGGTTGGATAGGTCTTATATTAATAGACGATGTTCTGAGCTCAACAAAACTGAAGTTATTTAGGCAGGAACAGAACTTGGCCGGGCAAATCGGACAATGTCGAATCTTGTTTAGCCCAGGGAGCAGCGAGAAGAGTGGGAACGTTCAGTTTGCCTGGTAATCTGTTCATTGAGATACTCAAAATACTTACTTCTTGCTCGTGTTCAATTCTCATGCTGGGATTTGCATTTACTTCAAGTAGTATAGGCTTCAGATTTTTCATGAGAAGAATGTCAAAGCCTAAAATCTGGGGCAGGATAAACATAATTCAGAATTAGTTACAGTGTCTTTTCAGGAATCAGGTACTGTATTAGGGGTATTAAGGTGAAAATAAATTCCAACTCCACCCCCAACCTGGGCCTTGACCCTGGCTTCTCTCATCCATAGCCCCTCTTCCTCTGGATGGACTTGTCAGGCCAAATGGGCAGCAGAAAATTTTATAGGGGCCTTGGTAATGGGATGAGGTCCCATGGTTCATTTCAGCACCATCGGTGTCATCTGAAGGGCTGTAAGATGATGACCTCGCTCTTCTTTAACAGGTTTTTTATTATGTGAAGAATCAGTAATAGTCCATCAATTTCTCCCTCTCCTTCTGTTCTCCTCTTTTAAGTTGCTTCTTAGGTGGATCTCTAAGAAACCTGAGACTATGTTTCTTAACCTCGGGTATATATCAGCATCACTTAGGGACCCCTTTCAAAACCACTGCTCATCCCTAGCCCACACCTATGAGTCAGAGCCTTTCAGGGTGGAACGCAGCCAGTGTATTTTCAATAACAAATCCCCTGGATAATTCTGATAGACCCTCCTACCCAAGAAGAAGGGAATATTTATTAGGTGCCCACTAGGCACCAATTATCATACAATGCATGAATAATTCACAATCTCGATTCGTTCTCACAACAGCTTATTTGAAGTAGGGATCATGCCCTGTGTTTCACAGAAGCAAAAAGTGAGTCTCGGAAAGGCCAGTGGGTTTCCTTGAGACTGCTCCTCTCGTAAATGACAGAGCTAAATTTCAGAACTGCAGAACTGGCTATGTAGTTTGTGGGACCCGGTGCAAGATGGAAATGCAGGGTCTCTTGCTCAAAAAGTATTAATAAATTTCATGATGCTGAAACAGAGCATTAAACCAAGCATGGAGCCCTTTGGAGTGTGGGACCCTGTGACGGCGCAGCCCACACACCCCTGGAGCCAGCATGCACCCATGGCCAGCTTTAGCGCCCTTGCGAATTGGCCAACCAGCCACTCTTGAACCCGGCATTCTGCCTCAGGTGTGGCTTTGTCTTCTGGCCTCTTTCAACTCCTCAGGAGTCCCCTGCTTGGGGTAAGTCACCCTGTGCATTTCATTCCCTCTGCCTGAAACAGCCCTTTATCTAGATAGCATCTCCTCACCCTTGAGATCGCAGCTTCTGATTGGATTCAGACGTGGACTATGAGGATGCCAGATTCTCGGGAGGACTGTCATCTCTCTAGGAGGTGATAAGGTAGAATAAAACTCCTAGTATGAGTGATACCATCCCAAAGCTTCAAAAAGTAACATGGAGAATAAAGGAGGGGAGAGAACAAAGATACAGCTGCATCGCCTCCTCTGTGGACTCAAGAAGAAAATATGAGGGGAAATCCATCTACTTGTCTATCTAGAATATGCATTAGTTAAATGATAATTATTAAACTGTAGTTTCATCCTTATTAATGAACTCAGAGCCCGAATGACCATTTGTGGGTGGGGGGCAGGGTGCATAATTCAAGATGAGGTTATTCTTCAAGAAAGGACAATAAGGATGAAAAGTTGGGAAAAGTCATCCTCACTCTATTTTTCTTTCCCTGGTCATAAGAAGAAAGGAATGGAAATTCAGTAGAAAATGTTACATGTATTATAGATCTACTTAATAATATATGACAAGTGGATATGAGTGATGAGGCCTGTAAGAGACTCTGGTGACATCATCAGTCTAACTTCAGACCTGGTCTGAGACCTGATGTTGATGAGCCTGCAGAGAACAATGGGAAGCAGTGTCAACGTTTATCATCCTGAGTCATGGGCGCTTACTTTTTGCTACATCTTAGAAGCTTGGACTTGTCCTTTCTCAGCCTGGTGGATTCGTCTCAGCTCAGTGCACAAGGATTTCACGAATCCACAGCTATAGGAAAGCTGGAGAAGAGGAGTGGCAGAACTTCACCAGCCACAGGGACCTGCACCCAGCAGTTGCATAAAGCTTTCCAGAGCCTAAACTTTGGCGCATGTAGTTGACTGTGTTGAGTCTTGTGTAGGAATGCTTTGAAGCCAGACTTGGGCTTCAATCCAGTTCAGTCTCTCATATTTGCTACACAATTCTAAGCCTCTGTGAGCCTCACATAACTCATCTGAAAAAGTTGGGCATAACCACAGCTACCTTATAGGGTAGTTGACAATGGAAGCAAAAAAGAATCCCTAGAGTTATGCTCATCTTAAAGAAAGTACTCAATATACGCTGGCTCCCTTTCTGGTTTCCTACTGATCCCATCAATAAGAATTGGCACTGTTAGCTTTGGAGTCCAGAGGAACTCATTTCAAATCTTAGTTCTGCCTTCAGCTTGTGTAACTACTGGCAGGTGACTTGGCAGCTCCAAGCCCCAGTTTCCTCATCTGTAAAATGGGCATAATAGTGCCTACCTTAGTCCACTCATTCATGAAACACTGAATGCCTCCTGTGCCCTAGAGGCTTTTCCAGCTTCCGGAAATACAGGAGTGGACTAGGCAAAGTCCTTACCCTTATGGAACTTACACTCTAGTCAGGGAGACAGGAGCAAGTAAAGATAATGGGGTGTAAAATGTTTTGCATGGTACTTGACACATAGTATTTAGTGAAAGTCATCTTTATAGTTCTTCAAGAGTTCAAGGAAAGATGAATTTCCCCCCAAAGTTTAATAAAAAATGGAGCGGCAGTGAGCCTCAAGAAACAGAATCACAAAACTTGGGGGGAGCTTAGAGTTGGTCTTTTCATAAGATCCCAGAATGTCAGAGCTGGCAGAAAATCAGGAATTTATTTGGTTCAGTGTTTTTCAATATGAGATTATTTTGAGGGGGAAGCACTGGGGAGACCAGATCAGATCAACTTTTATCTTTTTTACATCCTGGGGTTCCCATGGGAAAAGTATATATTTATATCTACACATCTATCTATCTATACCAGATTAGTAGTATATATAGATATATATACTACTGATCCTGGCTTCCCTTGTGGCTTTCTGCCTGAAATACAGGAGACCTGAGTTCAATCCCTGGGTTGGGAAGATCTCCTGGAGAAGGAAATGGCAACCCACTCTAGTATTCTTGCCTGGTGAATTCTATGGACAGAGGAGCCTGGTGGGCTACAGTCCATGCGGTTGCAATGAGTCAGACTGAACAATAACACTGCTAATCTAATCTAACATCCACTTTGCACATTAGAAACCTGCAGCTTAGAAACAGGAAAACCTCTCTCCAGCTTGGTGGCAGAGCAGGAAATGTCAAATGGAGAGAGAGAAAACTTTTCAATTATGTGATACTCTCCACTCTCCAAGTCATTCAGTCAGCAATGATATGTTGCTTCTTACAGGGTGCCCTGGGGACTCAAAGATATATTGTCCTTCATCCCTCACCTCTGGAAGCTTCCAAAGCAAGTTGGAGAGAAAAGGGCCCTGAGCTATTCATTGTAAACTCAGGTAAAGCCTCCAACCTACATTCCAATGAGAAGGAATTATCTCCTGAGCCACAGAACTACACATCCAGCTGCATCCAGAGTATTCCCAACTTGGAGATCCAACACCCCTCACATTCAACATAACCAAACTCACTATCTGTGATCAGCAGACTCTAAGACAGTCCCAATGATACCACATCCTGTATTCATGCCATTTTGTAAGCCCCTTTGCCTGAGTGCGCGCTGTACCTAGTAATGTTTTTCTAACAAACAAAATAGGGCAGAAATGATGGGATATCATTTCAAATATTAGGTTATATAAAAAGACCGTGGCTTGCATCTTAAGATGCATTATCTTACTCTCTTGTTCCCTCAACACTAAGGGAAGCCAGCTTCCATGTTGTGAGCTGCTGGATGGAGAGGCTGAGATGGCCTCTGGAACTGATGTCCCAGTCAATAGCAAGGGGGATGTGAGGCCTGCCAACAGCCATGTGAGTGAGCTGGGGAGGGGATCTTTCCCCCGTAGCCTCAAGATGACTAAAGTCCTAGACAATATGTTAACCGTAGCCTGTGAGGGACTTTGAACCAGCAGCAGTCAGCCAGAAATCTCTCCTTCCTTCACATCTTGCTGCTCACAGGCTCTGTACATTCTACTTCTAAAACAGCTTTCTAGACCTGGCCCAATCTCCCTGTTCCTAGTCTAGATCAAACCTGCACCATCTTTCACCTGGACTACTTTAATACCTGCCCCCATTCATTTCCCTGCTCTCAAACTTACCCCTCTAATCACCTGGCACGAAAGGCTACCAGAGTAATTTTTCTAAAATGCAAATAAAATGTTAGGACCCCTCTACCTAAAATCCCGGCTTACAGGAGGAAGCCCAAGTTCCAGAGCATGTCCTGCAAATTCCTCTATGACCAGCATCTGTGTCAAACTCTAGCTTTCTTTTCTCCGACTCAACGCTGCACGCCTTGGGCTCTAATTGTGCTAAACTGTTAGTAATTCTGGGCTTTTCAAGTGGTAAAGAATCTGTCTGCCAACGCAGGAGACCCCAGTTCAATCCCTGGGTCGGGAAGATGCCCTAGAGAAGGAAATGGCAACCCACTCCAGTAGTCTTGCCTGGGAAATCCCTTGATAAAGGAGCCTGGCAGGTACAGTCCACAGGACTGCATAAGAGCTGGACATGAATTAGCAACTATGCAACAACATTAGTAATTCTGGAATGCTTTCCTGCTCTCTGCCCTTATACTCTTCTACTTGGAGGACAACTTTATTTATCAAATACTCATTGAGCAGCTACCCAACACTAAGTAGTATTCCAGGCACTGGGGATAAAGCAGTGGAGAAGACAAAGTTTGTTTTAACTCCTGCCCTCTTGGAGCTTACATTCTAGTAGAGAGACCATAAGCTCGTAAATATCTATGACAAGGTGAGAACATAGAGTGTATACGTGGATGGAGGGAAGGGCTTGGTGGTCAGGAAAGGCCTTTCTAAGAAGGTGAGATTTGTCATTCTCTTGTCTTCTGGTTTGCACTGTTTCTGATGAGAGGTTTTCAATTATTCTTCATTCCTCTGAACATAATG